TGGGTTCGAGTCTGGCTTGGGACTTTGAGGGGATTCTTGTCCAGCTTGGCCTTTCATCTCTTCAACGAACACATAGTTCCTTCTACATGGTACTACACATATCTGGCCTTACCTTTGGGCACGTACATCTCACTATACACTTACAAAGTGCACACATAGCCTTCAGGCAGACACAAACATGGCTCATGAACATATATACACATAGCCTACGGGCTCATACAAATATACATAGCCTCTGGGCACGCATATACACACAACTATGATACCGGGCTGGGGAGGTCAGGTATATGTCATGGTCTACTCATGCATGACTTAGCTCTAGGGTAGGGTAGGGATATAAGTCGCTCCGGCTAGTCCAAGTTCCACCTAGCCTTGGGTAAGTTAGGGGAAGGACGGTGGGATGTGTTCGTGGGCGCTGGCTTGCCTTGCTTAGCTACTCCTGTTGGGTAGACTCTCTGAATTGGGCCTGCAGAAGATTGCATGAGCCTGGTGTCCGAAGTTCCTGTACGACAAGGTTCGTCCGCTTCCGCTTCCACTAGGGCTGGGGGGTTGGCCCGACCTTGGTGCTTGTCACTGCCGTCAGGTCCAAGTTGCCCTCGATACTGGTAGGGTGATGGTCCTGAGTGCTGGTCACACTGAGGAAGGATAGTAGGGACAGGGGGTGCGCTGGGAGTATTAACGTGGGGATGGGTAGGGTAGGTGGCCTATCCTGTCAGAACAACCATTGGCTGCTGCAGCCAGCAATCACTGCGGGTCTTGTCCTTGGCCTCTACAACACCCTGAACTTTTCAAAAAGAAAAAAGAAAACAAAAGACTTTTTTTTTTTTTTTTTTTTTGGGAAAACATCGCCCTGTCGTGGATCATGCTAATGGAGGTGATAGGAGCACCCTCCATTAGCAGACCCCGTTTTTGATGGCTCCATCTATCAGTGGGCGGCAGCACCTGCTGGAAAGCGGGACCAGCGTCCCTTCATACATTTTACATAACTTAAAGCAATGACAGTTCTACTTGAAAGCCTTCTGCTGCATTGTTCGCAGGATAAACACCTCATGTTAGTTCATTCCTATGAGTTTCATCTGCAAGTTCACACACTCAGTTAACCTGATGAGCGCTTTCTTGTTAAACCCTCATGTCTGACAAACCCTCAACCCCATGGATCCCGACAACATTGGTTTCCTTAAAGCACCAGTACATGGGCACCTGGGTTGCAGGTCTGACACCTCAAATTCTTGAGGCGCGAAATGAAAACTGATCGAATTTAGCAACGACCGGCCCCGGGTTCGGCGTTTCTGCCTCGTTTTCTTGTGGCGACAAGTTTCGGACTGCAAGGCCGGGGCCGTGTACTAGTGGTTTAACCCCATCTGTTCGGTATCACCCGATCCCTTGTCCTTTCACCGTGTCCATCCTTCCTCCTATGCTGGATTTTGTTGTTACTGTTGTCCCCTTGCTGTCTATCCTTAACCCCTCAATTCCTTCATTCCCTCCAGGCCCTACAGCACAGGCAGTCCTGTCATCTATCCCTGTGGCTTTCTGGTGTTCGCTAGTTGTTACTCTTTACTCAGGTCATCCCAGTTGACTGGACGGGGTTTGACTCTTAGGGGAGGAGGGGCAAACAAAGGGTCAGGATAGGGAGAGGGACAGTGCGCGGGTTTTAGGAGAAAGGGGGGGCGGGGGGGGGGGGGGGGCGGCTGCTGGGGAGCGTGGATGGAGGTAAGGGGTGGGTGTTGGTTTGATCTATTGGACAGGGGGAGGGGGRGGGGGGGGGGGGGACAAAGTTTTGCTCTTGGTAGGGGACGCGGAAATGAGATCACGGGAGTCGCTCCCATGCCGGTTCCTCCGTCGCCCACCTATGCCAGATCAGGTTGTTTTGGTCATCCAATGTGACCAACTTCCTGTTTTTGTCCAGCCATATGGCCTCGAACAGATCTTTACCCTGTTGCCTCTCATTCTGGTCTTTTGCATATCCGAGGTCCTTTTTAAGTTGCTTCCAAGCTGCTTGAGTATGGTTGGTGTTTGTTGTAATCGCCACCTCCCTTGCTGTAGTAGCCGAAGAAGCACTTGTCTCTTTCATGGGAGCAACACTGTGACGCCCTAACCTCACGCCCAACACGACTTCCTGTTTCGGAGTGATAATGGGCAGGGAAGTGCGAAAAAGGGGGTGTGCCAAGGATTTTAGGAAATTGTGGTGGAGTCCCAGGTTAGAACTGAAATCTCCGGTGTCAAGAGTTAGGGATAAAAGTGCAAATGTTCCGGTGAAGAGGCGGGTTCAAGTCCTCATTTTTTTTAGAACCGTCGGCCTTGCCTTCGGGGCCTGGTCTTGACTCGATGTTCAGACAGGACGTGATCACTGTACCTTTGTTCGAACACGCGTCTCTTGTGGGCGTCATAGTTCTCAGAATCCGATGCCGCCGGCCACAGCCTTAGGCTGCGAAGCGACATCTTGTGGCAGTTCGAGCGTGGGATTGCGGGCCAATCGTTCTTTGTCTGGCAAGGGAATTCGGGTCACACGGGCTGCGTTCTTCGTGTGTTTAAACCAATACACCTCGAACTCGGGATCTCTCAAAGCCTCGCACTCCGTGACTCGAAAAGAGACCTGGACGTTCATTCTTCATCCCGGATTTTGCCAGCCATATGACCCGGCAATGGTTCGGTCGGAGGGGACTCCTGCTGGCACGCGCATCCGTGACGGTCGTCTTATGCGACAATCCCTAGTATGCGCATGTGCACATGAGTGATCCCTCAGTGTCTCTAAATCCTATCTCCGAGAGCCGTGATTTTCCGACCCGCAGCTCCTACCGCCTGCCAACAGATTGGGCGTTCCAATAGTACTTACGTGTAACCAGGACGGAATGACTTGTGCGGACGCGTGCATGGAGGACAACTGCATTAATCGCTCGTATGAGCGAACACGCATAATGCATCCCGACTGGTGGCGCATGCTGGCGATAAAGGCTACCTTACCCCCCCTGATCAATCAACTTCTGCAAGCGAGATGAGATGGCGGATTCCAGACCCATGCAACGATTACGAAAAGTTCTTCCATCATACATGCATCGACAGATCTAGTAAGATCACGCCCGTGGGTTTTACCCAGACCAATTCCAAAATCTACTCCTGATTAGCGAGCATTTCAAAAATAGCATCGTATAGATCGAAACACACCAAGGGAGGCAAATAAATAAGGGAGAAGAGACAGACTCATGCATCCATACTCAATAAACAACAAACCCGAAATATAGTTGTGCGCAAAAACTGATCATGGTCAAAAATCAAAATTATACAGAGGGTTGAAGAAGAATACACCACACCGCCAACCCTTTGTTCTCTCTCTCTCTCTTTCTCTCACCCTCTTCCCGATGCGGGCAGTCCGTCGCCTCGCACCTACCATCAACCCGAAGTTGTCACCCTGCTTAGCCCGAGCATGCAAGCCAGGTTCGCCCGTGTGCCATAGTCCTTCACGACCACACGTCAGCCTCGCATGCTTGGTGCCAGCCCGTCGGATCGCCCAACTCCTCACTCCCCTTTCTGGCCCTGCCCGTTAGCCGATCCTCTCGACCGCGCTAACTTTAAGTCTGATTAGAGAGCAAGTTAATCGCGCTTGCAGGATTTATAACCTTTGCATCTGCGTGCGATAACCGGGATTGTGTCGGGGTGGAGGGAGAAGGAAGGAAGGAAGTGTCAACGACTGCATGGCCAGGTCATGGCGTGGGGGACGTAGCCACTCTCCACGCATCGATCCAGTCATGAATCGTTTTGGCCAATGGGATAGAGGAAAAAAGAGCATGTAAAGGCGCGAAGGAGTCAAGGAAGGAAGATTATTGTTATGCCTACGCCTGCCAAGACGAGATTACAGTTACAACAAGTATTAAGGCGCGGGCTGCCAAGAACGCAGAGCCAACCACAGTAATGCGCGCGCAAGCAAGAATCATTGCGTAGTTGTAGGCGAAAATTCCAGCGCACCCAAACTCCCCTTAATCAAAATCCTAATTGCAAAAAGGAAATTCCGAGAATGCTCACGGCTCCACACACATTCAAAATTCGAAAAAGATTTCCCTCCGCGCGCCAATCGCACCAAAAAGCTGCCCGTACTCCCAAGAAAGAGAAAGAAAGTGAAAGAAACTGTCGTTGTTCCCCTCTTTCCCCGCGCTCGCTAAGGCGCGGGCCATCTACATGATTTCTCTTAAGATCCCCCCCAAAAAGGAAATGAAAAAGCAACCAAAAGCAAGGGCATTCATGCAATTTATTCCTAACCCCGTTTGCATGCCCCCAAGCTATTCGCGCAGGAAATAACGCGTCTCATAAAAGAATTCGTCACATATGTGACACCCAGGGGGTTCCAATTTGTGCAAGCTCCCTCTTGCACCTGTATGCGCTGAGGATTTGGCACGTGTCATACCGTCGAATAGGAGTGTGGAAGTCATCCTTTCGACACGTGTCACTTGTACTTAAAGAAGTTCCGGAGCTGGGTAGGGGAGTGTGAGGACAGTTGGTGGAAGTGGAGGGGGTTGCTGCGGGAGCGGGGGTAGAAGGTAGGTAAGATCTTGCGCTGATCCAGGGAGATCGATGTAGCGGATGGTGTGATGGACACACGGGAAGCGTTCATTATGATGAGGGAGGGAAGCAAGATAGTCGGGGTAGAGGGTAGACATAGTGCGGATGACAGATGCTTTAAACTTCTCGTAATCTGCACATGCGGGGTTCGGCCCCGTAATCGTGCAGTACAACTCAACGTTGTAGAACAACCTCCATGCTGCACTAAAGAGGTGGATATGAAGACGAAAGGAGGAGTGAAGGGATCGCGTGGTTGGGTGGGGGTGAATGGTGGCGATTAGCCTAGTGGAGTAAAGTTGATGGAAGAGGGGACGAGAGAAAAGGTTCACGGAAATAGGAATCGGAGTTTCGATCTGGTGGAAGGTGATGTAGTCAAGGGGACGAAGCCCAATTTCCCGGAGCGCTACGTGCTCGAAGAACCGGTCTTGGGGAGGGGGAGCGAGAGCGGCTTCGTCGGTGTCGTCGCGTACTGGGTCCGACTGCTGCTGTGCTGCCAGGCCGCTCATCTTCTTCACTTGGCGGTTCCGGATCCCGTGTGGGATCGTCTCGTGGTATCCGACGCTGGTCCCACACCCTGGCCGATCACCCGTTTTCCCTCGGCGATCTCCCTTCGCTTCCGTTCTACGACGGCGGGATCTTCCTCCTGCCGACCTTGGCCTTCTTCTCCCCGTTCCTCCTCCTCTTCGCTAGATCGCTCTGGCTCCTCCTCGGTATGTTCACCATCCTGCTCCTTACTGGACTCCTCCTCAGTGTTGCCTCCCTCCTCTTCTTCTTCCGAACTCTCTTCCTCCACGGACGTAGGAGCAATCAAATATCTGCACTCGTAGAACAAGTCGATAACCACCTCTTGGATTTCCAGGTAGTTTCCAGTCGAGGGGTAATAGCAATTATCCGGATCTGATTCCAAGAACGCCGACCACTTTAGGTACGACGCCAAACTCCTTATTAAGATGTGCGGCGCGGGGCTGTCGTCGTGGCACGAGATGATGTCCAGTGGCAGATCGTTGACGAGCTGAGTCAGCAATACCAGCAGTTCTCCATAGGTTGGGGGGAGATGATCTTTCTCTACTGTCCCGAAAACTAGCCCCAACAGATCGCCTTCTACATCCGTCCTCCACGCCTGCACGACGAGCAATTCCACTTCGTCTTCTCCTCTTTCTGACCCTGCGTCAACGCTGGCCCAGCGGAAGGTGATTTCCTGGAGGCACAGAAAAAGCGCTGCGTAATCACTCCACCAATCCTGCCAATGCTCGTCGCCCAGAAGAGAGACTTTGAGTTGGCGCATGCGGGCAGGAAGGCAAGGGAGGAGCGCCGACTGCCAGAAGAGAGGGAAGTTAGAAGGGAGACTGAACAACGAGAAGCGATGAGCACTCATTGGGGCCGCACAAAGGGGATGAGCACGGGAAGGATTACCTCTGGCTTAGACCGCCAAGCCCGTATCCCGTGGATGTCGATGTTGTTGCTGTCCACCACGTTATCTCCTTGCCTTGTGAGGAGCAATTTGCAGGCTTCGATCAGACCGGATGCCCAATCCCGTTGAGAAGATAGAAGAGCTAGGTGTACTCGTTCATTGACCGTGGTGATGTCCCCAGTGAAGGAAACGATCACCGAGATGTGGCTGGTACCCGACGCAGAGAGTCGTACGAATGCTGATGCCTCAGCCAGCACCCTGGATTGGCTGTTCTCCTGAACGAAGCAGAATTTGGCCGTCGCGTGTACACTGGCCGTGCTGAAGAATTGTGCAAATTGTAGAAGATCCAGACTGAGACGCGGATGATGCACCTGCCGTATTTGTCGAAATGTGCCCCCGAGGTACCAGCATATGCTCCCTGAGTACTTGCTCTGTGGAAAAGCTCATGGCGACGTAGACAGAGTAGGGGATGGGAGTTCTAGAGATGGAGAAGAAAGGGGATCAAGCTCGCCGTCTTCCCAATCGGAGAACGCGGGAGACTCAGAAGAAGATGGGGGAGAGGAAGCAGACATATGACGAAGATAGGACACGTGGCGGACGATGGGGCGGGCGGATCGGCTTCCCGACACCTCAGGAGCCAGGCGCACCGTGTTCACGCCGTTGGGTCCGAGCTCGATCACAAGGAAACACCCGAAGAATCATGGTGCTAATTTTCCCTGGCGAGCACATTTCCTCACTTGCACTTTGTCCCCTAATTTATACGGGGGCCGTGGACCCGCATTCCCATTTCGGGCCTCCTAGCTACGGACTTGCCGTCCGTGAGCCAATCCGGTCATCCGTTGGCGCTTCCGAACTAACCAGGGGAGGGACCGTTCCATCAGTTTCAGGTGTCGCTTGGCTTTTTCTCGGGCCGTGGCCCTTGTTGGTCGTCGTCCTAGGGTCGATTCATCATTTAGGCTCGGTACCGGGACACATGCTAGGTTATTGGTCCGTAACTGAAACGGGGACAATCCGGTAGACTCGTGTGGGGTACTCCGATGGATGACCAAGATGTGATCTACGATATCGGGGTATATCTCTGGCCACGAGGTTTCGTCAAATCGCTGTTTTGATCACCCGGTTTGCATTCTCTACGAGGCCGTTCGATTGTGACATATGCGGGGTGGTATGACGGATGAAGACGCCATGAAGGACCAGGTTCCTCATGACCTCTCCTCGAAATTCTGCTCCATTGTTTGTAAGGATTTCCTCGGTATCCTGATGCATCCCGAGGAAATGGTTGATATACCGCGCTATCTCCACCGTCCGTCCCGTCCTACAAGGGTAGGCCTTAAGCCATTTCGAGAAATGATCCACGAAAACTAGGAGAATTGAATATTCGCAGCTATTAGGTCCAGGGGGCACGACGATATCCGTCGTGTCCATGCTTACTCTCTGGAACAACCGTTCGACTACTGTGGGTACTATCGACCTAGGGGGTTGGACCGGCGCTTTATCCGCCGCACAGACGAGACAATTTTTAACAATAAGTTTAACATCATCCCTGATATTCGACCAGTACCATTCATTCTTGTCAATAGTCGCCTCCGTAATCCTTAAGGCAAAATGTGCAGCTATTTCCTTGTGGGTTGACCGGACCCAGTCCTACCGCATGAACGGATGCGAAATCGACATCCAGATTCCGCTCCCGTCTGTTTTTCGTTTTTCCAACCGTCCTTCATTCCACCTATAATCTCTTGCCCGCTCATTGGCCTGCCTCCGATCTTCCTTTGAGAATTCTCGGAGCGAGTTTCCTTTGAAAATTCTCAGAGCGAGTTTCCTGCTACCGTAGCTATCAAGATGGCATTTGTCCATACTTCAACCCTTCTAAACCATCGGGTCTTTTCTAGGCTTCAGAGGTGGTCTCCAAAAAACGGGGCTCTGTTGGAATCTTATCGGTCGGACACAGCGGGCAAAGCCATGACCTCTGGGAATTTCGGTACTGAATGCACGACCCGTGTGCCCGTGAAACACACTTGGAACAATCTACCCAGTCTACGTATCCCTCTCTGTATGGTTGCATCGACACTGAATAGACTCTCGAGATAGATTCACAAAAATAGCAAAATTGATCAGGTAGAGAGAAGAGAAGGTAGAGGTAGGGGAGGGAGGAGCATCACCGTTACCTCCGTCATGAGTCGCCATGTTATAACGTATTACTTTGCAGTCGGTTGAGCGATCACCGATACCTGCCTGTACCCAAGCCCTTCGGTCTGCTTCGACTCCTTCCACGGTGTGATCTCTCCTCCCTTCGGCACCTTGCCCGGTCTGTGCAGACGTGTCAGTCCGTCCACATTCCCGTATTTCTCCGTCTTACGATGGACTATGTCAAAATCGTATTCCTGCAATCGTACCGCCCATCGCCCGATCATTCTTGTGTAATTAATCAACTTCTTGAGTGCCAGCAACGGTTCATGATCGGTGACGAGAAGGAACTTCTGCCCATACAGGTATAGGTGAAAATGTTGGATGCCCCAAACCACCGTGTAGCATTCCCCTTGAGGCGCCGAATTGTTCTTCTGCTCGTCTGGCACCGTCCGGGAAGCATACTCAACAACGTGCTCGCGACCGTCCTTCCCCTTCGGCGCCAAGATGGCGGAAATCGCTTCAGGCTGCAAGTTCGTGATGAGGATGAATGACTTCCTAGGATCCGGACGAATTAAAATGGGCGCGGAGGCTAGGGCCTCCTTCAAGGTGGAGAAGGCCCGTTCTCATTCCTCGTCCCAGGTTAATGGTTGGTCCTTTCGCAGAAGATTGGTCAAGGGTCGTGCGATTGCCGCAAAGCCCTTGAAAAATCTACGGTAGTAGGAAGTCAGTCCCAGGAAGGGCCGAACCTGCGTTAGAGATGTAGGTGTGGGCGCGTCCCGAACCACGTTCACTTTTCGCGAGTCCGACAACAAGCCTCACCAAGTTACCACGTACCCGAGGAAGGAGGTCTCCGAAAGGAAAAACTCGCTTTTCGCCAGAGCGATGTTGAAGCCCGCATCTCGCAGCGCTCCAAGTCTTCATTCGATATGTTGTGCATGTCCGTGAAATGATTATGAATACACCAGGATGTCGTTCATGTACACGATGACGCAAAAGTTCACCATTCCTTGTGTCAGCCGAGTCTTGTTAACGAAGTTCTGAAAAGTCACGTTCATTGCCCTTTGAAACGTAGCTGGAGCATTTCAAATACCCATAGGACAACGAAGCCATTGCCACGTGCCTTCAAACAATACGAATGTCATTTTCGGACGATCTTCTTCCTTAACCAATATGTGATGGAACCTGTGACGGATATCAAACTTGCTAAAATAATTAGCACATCCAATCGCATCCAACAAACCATCAATCCGGGGTAGGGGGTACATATCCTTGATTGTGATATCATTCAATTTCTGGTAATTGATGTAAATGCGAATGGATTCGGTCTTTTTAGAGACTAAAACCACATGGAAGGACCATGGGCCTGTGGCGGGCTCAATCCAGCCGTTGGCCTCAAATTCACTGATCCGCTCCAAGGTCGTTCGTCTTTCAACTAACGAATATCGGTACGATTTACAGTGGATCGGCGAGTGGGTGCCAGTCTGGATCTCGTGCTGTATGACTTGGGACAACTCGATGTCTGCATCCTCGATGCTAATCGCCTCCTGATATTCAGACAAAATGTCAGCAACGAGTTTGTGTATTTCGTCAGGCACATATTTCAGTACATGCAGTTCGTAGTAGCAGTCCCGTATTGCTATCGGTAACTGTTTTATCCAGGTAGCGGGGGTCTTCCTCTTAGGTGGGGATAATATAAACGAATTGTCGGAACGCCACGAAAAGACTGTGGCGATCATCTGAGCTTCCTCCATAATTAAAATAATAAACCAGCAAAAATCATAACTATACAAAAAACACACAAACACAAAAGGTAAAGGTAAGGATAAAAATAAAATAACAAAAGATTGACGCATCCTCTCACTACCCCCCGATATTTATAGACTCACACGGAATAAAAACCTCCAACTCTGAAATATGACCCTCGGCCCCAAACGTATACAACATAAAGCTAAGAAACCTATATACCATAAAGGCCACCCCCCGCATTTCGGTTATGGGTCAATAGGCCCCAGGACAATCAAAACGTACAATCAAAGTAAGCCAGATCTAGACTCACATGCACAATAGGCCCCCTCCACACACACACACACACACACACACACACACACACACACACACACACACACACACACACACACACACACACACACACACACACACATACACTAGCAATCAGGAAAAAATGAAGAAAAAAAAAATATATATTTTTTTATGGTGTTTCTTTTGATTTTAATACTTGTTTGTTTCGTTTTCTATTTTTAAAAATAGCAAAAAGCATCAAAATCCAAAAACAAAAATATGGGGATGTAGGGAATTTCAAACCCTACAACCCCCTCTTCTTTTTTTTTTGCCTTTTTTTTTTTTTTTTTAAATCCCCGGGTTTCATGCCTGCAGTCGGTCGCGGGGGTCGATCGCCGCGGGCGGGGTCCCGACCGCATGCAGAAAAAAACCCGCCGTTATGCCCGTGGATGATACATAGCACGAATGGGCTCGGGCAGAGCGCGAGAATAGATATAAAGGACTTGGTTGTCCCGAAGGTTCAATCCAGAAACCTGGAGCAACCGATCTACTTTTCGCGACAGTTGTTCCACTGAGGTCCAATGTCTTTGGCCAATGGTGGTGAGCTGGTTGAAAGCCTTATCGGTCGTCATCTTGTCTAAGAAGCGTTCCTTGATCTTGCCAAGGAACTGCTTCAGGTTCATTGTGCCATCCCACTCGCCAATGTCCTCGAACCCCGCCGCATTAGCTTCGACCAGTACCCATTCTTTTGCATCGCCCCCAAGACATGAAGTAGAGAAAGCAACCTCAGAATAAAGTTCGACTGGGGCCATTTTACAATACGTCTGAATCTCGACAATCCATAACAACAAGTTTTCATCTTTCTTGTTGCAAAATGTGAAAGACATTTTCGTCTTCACCTTTTCCTTCTTCTTCGGTTTCTCTGGTTCCGTACTTACCTTTCCTTGCGGTGAAGCTGGAGACTTTGGAGGTGGAGAGGAGGGAGGAGAAGAAGGAGGAGTGTTCGGTGAAGACGACGGTGGACTTGATCCTCCTCCATTAGACGACTTCCCCACTTCATTAGACGTCTTCTGATCCTGAGGATCAACGGACTTCATTGCCTCACTCATCAACTTTTTAACTTGTTTATTTTCTTCCTTAACCTTTTCTTCTTTTTCTTCTACCTGATGCTTCCCTTTCACAATGTTTGTGACAGTTCGCAATCCTACAACAATTTCGTCTAACTGACATTGCTGTTTGTTAATCTTTTCTTCCAAGAAGGTGAGGTAAGTCATGATGTGATACAATGTAGGCGTCATGTCAGTCTGTTCCTTCTCTTCTGTTACTATCACCTGTCTGATTTCGTTTACTTTCTGTTCCCGTCTCAATTCATGTTCATGTTTCCGGGCTAGTTCTTTCTTCTTCCTTTCTTTTACAACCAGCGCCTCTTTTAATTGCTGGATGTTTGCATCAATTGCAGCCTCGGTCACTTCTGGTCTGATTTTCCCTTTTCTAGATAATTTCATGGTTTCTTCCAGCTGCTTGATAGCAAATTGGTCTAGCGCCTTCCGACACTGAACTATCATTTTAGACACTTCGGTTCCGACAGCCACGACTTCGACGACCGTAATTGCTTGCTTTAGACGGTTCTCTACCGTCTTCAAATCAAACAGATTACGAACGTGTCATTCGGCTTCCGGTCGGGACAAATGCAAATCATTCATTAGTTGGTCCCATAAAGCCAGTAACTCTTGTTTCTTTGTTTCCGCCTGTCTCATAGTCTTGGGTTCGGAAGATCCTTCACCCATCAAGAACGTAATTGGAAAAAGAAACAAGAGTAATTTTCACACACCAAACATTTTGGAAATCAGATTTGAGACAATATTCACAATGATGGAACAAAAAACTAAAAAGAAATACTAAAAAGGAACATATCTCTATTTATACTAATTGTTGTTCTTTTGTCTGTGTGATGACGTCTTAGTGTACAGGTACCGCATCAGGCTCGTGTGATCAGACACAACACACAAGTAAGTACGCAAACACCACACACAGCAGCAACAAGGTAAGTATGCCAACAATCATCAACAAACAGTTTGTCAGCAACCTTTGCAACCTGCTGTGTCTCCCTGGTGCAAATGCGATGATGCACTCTCCCTGACAGCTGGCACTATGGCTGTATCAGTTCTGTGAGTTGTACCGCCTTTGCCTTCAAAATGCTCCTCTTACTTGGCAGTATCCTGCCTGCCACATGTCATCCCTAGAGTGCCAACATAGTAGGACTTGCACGTCAGCACCGAGTTTCCACAATGTACAATAGCGGGATGCCACGTCAGCAAATGTGTACTCCAACCCTTGTCACGTGCCACTTCCATGTGTCGTGTTGAAATGCTGTTGCCGTTCCAGCCAGTCAGGTCATGCCACGTCAGCCCAGGAGACTGATGCCACGTCAGCAGGTAGTCACCACCTCACGAAGACAGGTGTGATGACTTGCTTCCTGCCACGTCAGCAATCAATCCTACTACGTCAGCATCTGCGATAGACCCTATCGCCTGTCAGCAGCAAAAGAAGTGCCACGTCAGCAATCAGCAACAAGGTCTTTGACGTGGCACAACATATGCCACGTCAGCAGGGGATCGCGATGCCACGTCACTATCGCGATCCAGGCTGGCGTGCGGTATCTCCAGTCGCAGTCCCTACTGCCACGTCAGCAGTCTGGTAGGGATCTCTTCTCGCCAATGAAGTCAGTACCTCGTCAGCACCCCCGATAATGTCTTCTCACCAGTGAAGTATGTGTCGCGTCAGCATTCCCGACGTATCTCTTGCCACATCATCACCTAGTCAACACACGTGTGCACCACTCTTACATGTGCGCCACCTGGCGCGTGCACACATGTTCAATCGTCGTCATCAGGAGAACTGCTCCGATACCAAATTGTAATGAACCTAGATCGTGAAGACAGTTGTCAACAATGCAAGTCCAGAAGAGTGTCAACCAGTTGATGATTACCAATAGTTAAAATTGTATCCAAACAGAATGAGGTGAGACAATCATACACAGACGAAGGAGAGAGTAGGGAGATTAGACAAAGGAGAGGAGATAATTACAAGGCCCACTCCTTCTTCGGGCTCCCTCCTCGATCACCACCTCAGCAACCAATAGTCTGGACGAGTATCTGAAGTAACCTCAATGTGCCACGTGGCACGTCTAATCAGTCCTTAATGCTGGAGCAATGTCGACATGAAGACAACCAGGTACTTATCCACGATCTCTCCAGAGTCCCGATCTCCTCCTGAATAACGATAATCAGAACAGCAATACAGGTCCCATAGCCTCGCCTCGTCAGCAAACAAAAGAACACGTGGCAGCAGCCACGTCAGCTAACGATACACGTGGCAGCAGCCACATCAGCGACAACGCATGGCAGCTGCCACGTCAGCATGCCAGGAAGATAGGTGCAAGCCAGCCACTATGCCGGACCAGCAGCACGTCGCCAAAGTCACAATGCCGACATAGGCCAGCGTCCAGCCAGCGCCGCAGCATCGAACCAGCGTCGCAGTCAACGCGTGAAGTCAGCGTCAACGCAAGATAGAATGAATGAATGTCAAAGCCAGGAAGTCAGTGCTTATGTAGCCTGAATGTCAAAGCCAGGAAGTCAGTGCTTATGTAGCCTTGACGCGGGGTCTAGACTCCAGATGCCGCATCCCTCAGCCGTCCAGATCTCAATGCAAGCGAGGGCCCAGATTGGTCTGAAACCGAATTCTCCCTGGCCTGGATGCTGTCTGGGTACCTGCGCACAAACAAGTGAGTGTATCCAACCAAGGGCCTGGGCGCGGTATCTTTGACTGTACAGTTGACTTTGACCCTTGAATTTCCATTGTGCAGCGTTTGGTCCCACAGCCAACGCAGCAGCCTCAAGTCTGGGCGTGTTTCGGTCACACAGCCCAGTGCAGACCGACTCAGGTCTGCGTTGCCTGGGGCTGAGTTCTAGGCCCCAGGCTACTTCTGAACAGGGTTACTGCATNTTTTTTTTTTTTTTTTTTTGGTTGAAAAAACTGCCCGAACGGCTGCTAGGGATGCTGATAAGAGCAGCCACCACTAGCACTGTTGGGGAGACTCCATCTATTGGTGGGGAGCAGCACCTGCTGGAAATCGGGTTCAGCGTCCCTGTAGAGTACAGTGTATACAGTGAGAGTAATGCAAACATGGGATGTCAGTCTCTATGAAGGGGCTGGGCTATGACCATCCCAACCTTCTATCAAACCTGTTTTTAGTGGAACCATCGAACATATTTCTGTTCTAGTGTCGTTAAAAAAAAAAAAAAAAAAAAAAAAAAAAAAAAAAAAAAAAAAAAAAAAAAAAGTGGCCTGATTCACTATCAATTACAGTCCATCTACATGTAGCATTATGCTGGGTCTGTTACCTCATTGTTGAGAATAGCCCTGTGCTGCATGAGTTGTCGTTGAATTTGTTCCTAGCTGTGCTTCTTGTCCCACATTGTACGGAATATGGTAAATCGAGCCCCTTACACCTGTCCTCCATCCGAGCACACCCGTAAAACCCATTAAACCCATTAACCCTATGGACATCCTTATGATCCCACCCTCCCGTAGCCCAAAAATCCAATTCGTTGGTATGGGGCGGCCTCAGCCCCTCCTTGTTCCCACCCACCCATAAAACCATGTCGTTGTGTCATTGTGTCTTCACATTGTCGCATTGTCATTGTACTGTCGTTTGTAAGTATTGTCTCCAGTGCTCTGCCAACCTTCCTGCTGCGGGGAACAATCTGTTGTCTGAGAATCGATGTATAGTGGGTGCTGGCTGCATCCTCTGTCTCCGGGGAGTAGTCCCCTCTGCTGCTCCACCCATGGGAAGTCCCTGCTTGGTCGGCCTTCTGCAATGAGAGTGGGAAGCGGGTGTGGTCGGGAAGGGAGRGGAGGGAGGGTAGTGGGGCAGGATTGAAGGAGGGTTAAGRGRAGAGTTTGGAGAGGTCCAAGAGGGGAAGAGGGTTTGGAGATGTGAGGGGGATGTCAGGCCGGGAGAAGGATGAAGTTGGTCGGTTGGAATGGGAACTGAAAATGGCTTCTTGGTAATCGTTCCCATTGTGATTCCGTCAGCATCCACTGTTTCCATCGCAATAAAGAGGATGGCAGCATCGACTCTACGCTGTCTTGCGTACCTGATGGTTTCATCGACTAAGAGTATGTTATCGTGAATGTTTCCGTAGGGCATGAAGCCAAACTGATCATGGTGGATGAGATGTGAGAGATGGGGGCGAAGTCTGTTGGCCAGACTTTTGCTACAATTTTACTTTTGCCACAATTTTATAGAGGACCGGGAGGAGAGTGATGGGCCTATAGTTCCGTATGTCTTCCTTGTCCCCTTTTTTGTAGATGAGGGTTGTGATCCCTTGCCCAATCATATCCCCGAACGTCTCCTCTTTGTACACTGCGTTCCGTACCTTTGATCCTGATCTATTAATTCCCGCCGTGAGCAACGCTGCAAAAAATAATAATAGTAATGATGAACAAAATGAAAAAGCAAGAGACAAATGACATAAAATAAATGACAGAAAACCTGTAAGTAGAACATGTTGAGTCTAGGCGACTCAGCGTGCTCTTGTATCCAGTAGGCTGAGACCTACTGCACAAGTGTCCTCAAGACGATATTTGAACCGTAGTGCCCGTAGCATACAGCCGACTGATATGGCGCATATCTTCAAAAATCTGGCTGACATCCTATCGTTTCCTTGTGGAAGGCTGATAGTGCACCTAGGCAGCAAGTACTGTGAGGTGCACATAGAGAAAAGTACCACGCGTCATGCGTTGACCGTAAGTCTGGAGCTTCCTTCCAGGTGGTAATCTTCGGACCCTTCTAGTCGTGCGGACACCCGCTGTCTAAGTCAGGAAGTTCCTTCCGTCTGGTCCCAGTCACGATAGCAGGAGGTAATCTTTTGAGTCCTTTTTTTTTCCTTTTTCCAGAGTCAAAATTTTATTACTAAGTTGGAACAAGAGGCCGGGAAAACGTCACAAACAACCCGGAATAGTAACTCTGGAGCCATTACCCACTTTCGGCTTATGCTGGAAACCGGGTCCTTTTGAGCATGACCGTGTCAGCAGCAGGACCGGTCCCTTCGGCATGGGTGATGTGCTAGGAAACCAACAAACCTGTTGAAAAGTGAGGTACTTGTGAAGTCACCAC